ACAAGATGAAGAGACAGAAAGACCCTAAATCCCAGATTTGGCAATGATATGTGGAGACAGCCCACAAGGGGGTCCTCAGTAGCCTACCCCCTCTTGATGGTAGGGGTACTCCGGGGCCTTCCTTGGGCTTGGATGCCTGCTGACCCTGGAGCCCCATCAGTCACTGGACCTTGTGGGCAGTACTTGAGGTCATATACCTGTCGCCCCAAGGCAAAGATGTAGTCACTCTGGTTGGTGCCCTGCCTATAGCCCATCTGCAGAGACATGGAGGAGTTGTCATACTTGTTGGTCCCCAGCTTGGTGTCACAGATGTGCCACCAAACCCCAGGAGCCATCATGCCCACCTGGCTGGCACACCTTTAGAGGCTGATGGTTGAGTGGTCCAAGGCTGGCAGGATATGGTTATTAGGGTCATACAGATGTCTTCTCGTGCCATATGCCATCATGCCTGGCTGGCTGGCACACTTTTTGATGCCCACTGAAGCCTGATGACTCACTGGCCCACCTTCACGGTAATGTCATCAAAGTTCCACTCCTGCTTTTCCAAGTACTTGATGCTGTGAAGTTCTGCCTCCTTCTGAGGGTCATATTTGGGCAGGAGCTGGTCTTGACCTTGGCCAAAAGCCTGTATGAGGGCCCTTTGTTGAAGGAGCTCATGCCATGGAGCTCATGCCAGCAGTAACTATGGGACAGATGGCCTGGTGGCTGGATGGCAGGGGACTTGTGGGTCTTGGCCAGAAAATAATGTTAAACATGAAATGCCCATAATATCTTGGGTTATGTCAGAGAAGTTCTCTAACAGGTAGAGCAGTGCCCAGAAGAGTTCCACAATAAAATGGAAATTGTTTGTGTATCATATTCCTCAGAAGGTATACTTTTTGTCCCAGGAGCTGCCAGATTCTATCCCCGCCTGCACAGTCTCCTGTAAGCTGCTCTCTGTTGACCAGCAAAGAGCTACTCGGTGTATGATGGCAGTTCCAAGGTGAACGAACATACAGCATCTTGTTTGTAAGGCTGCCACTCTGACTGAAGGAGGTGAAAAATCAGCTCAACAGACTGAAATGCAGGCTGTTGGCCCCTGTGTTTGGGTTTTTACTGACTCATGAAAAATAGTGGCATAAATCAGTAAGAAATGGCCTGACCATATGGTCGGGTAGAAGGGCAATGGAAAACTTGCCTACTAAAGGGATGCCCAGTCCTGGCTGTGTGGCTCAGTTGGTTGGAGGGTTGTCCATACATCAGAAATGTTGTGGGTTCGATCCCTTGTCCAGGTACGTACCTAGGTTGCAGGTTCGGTCCGTGGTAGGGGCGCATAATGAAGGCAACTGATCAATGTTTCTCTCTCACATCCATGTTTCTCTCTGTCCCTCTCTGTCTCTCTCTCCCATCATAAATGAACATATCCTCCTCCAGTGAGGATTGAAACAAACAGTAAAATGGGTGCCCATATGGAACATAAACCTATGGAAGCCGCTATGGAACTTTGAAGGATTCATTAAAGTAGGGCATGTCAATGACCAGAAGAACAACCTTTTAGGACTGGAAGGTGGTTGGAAGTAGTGAGTGCATTTCCCAGTATCCTCCCTCACGCTCAGTGGGGCCATAAAATGAGCAGTCACAGGGCTGCTGCAGCAATGCAGGGATGGGCTGGATCTAGACAAGTTCCTCTGGCACCCTCTGAGGTGCAAAATGCCAACAAGAACTGTTCTGTCTGCCAAGAAAAACAGACTACAAGTGGCTCTGGGAAGACTCCACACAGGGAAGGCCCTGCACATACCCAGAAAATGGGTTACATTGATCTCATGCCGGGAGCCCTGGGGGCTATAAGTGGGTCCTGACAGGAACTGGAATTTTCATTCCTGGTTGTAGTGGCAAATGTTCAAGACACTAATAGGTGATTGGAACAAAAAATACTGTGCCAATTTGGGCCACCAATCTCCCTTTCTTGAGACCAAGAGCCACATTTCACAGCTCATAGTGTCCAACAGTCGGCTGGGAGATACCACATCAAATGGACATGTTATGTTGTATATCATCCTCAGAGTAATGGTTTAATAGATCATTAGAATGACCAATCGAAACCTCTGTTGTCTAAAATGCAGAGGAGGGGAGCAAATAAAGTCATGAAGGGCTTACTTACATGCTTTCCTGATGGTATTTCACACTCAGCATGAAGGGGCTAAGACGGAGGCCTACTAGAGAGATTTGTCCACTGTCCTCGGGGGTCTGTGGAACAGGGAGTGCGGGGGGATGCTGGTAGGGCTATAATATTCTTCCCCTTATCACCGCAACTATTTTTTCTTCCCTAGGACCAGAAATGCATCTGAAGGCACTAGAAGCAGGATGATCCCTAAGCAAGAAACTATAACCATGCCTTTACACATTTATGTCAGAATTCCGAAGGGCATGATAAGGTATACTGTGCTTTCAACCCATCCAGCAAAACTGGCGTTGACAGTGAATGCTGCTGTGTTGCCTGGTGGTCTAGAGAGCCCGTTAGTCCTGTATCTGTGTAATCCTATTCTTTATGAGGGGGAATGGATGGAGGGAGAGGCACTTAGTTGACTAGTATTGTTGCCAGCAGTCCAGACCAGCACTGTGGTCAAACCTTACACCCCTTCCAGAGGTGGAAAATGTTGGGTGTGAATGGAGAAAAACAGGAAGAGTAGCTGAGGGTAAAGGAATGAGTAAGAGGATTATGCAATGAGGAAAATCCAATATTGCACCAACATTTTGAAAGAGGCTTGGAACAAAAGACGACATTGTTTCTTAGGTCAGTTATGACGAATGTCTGAAAGTTTGAAGCCATATGTTGCAGAGACCACTCTTGCTTTTGGAACCTGACAAAACTGAGTGGAAGACTGCAGACATGGATGACTTTGCTGTGACAGTCATTTTTGTCATAAAATATAAGGATGAACTAGACTAATTACTCTCATTTTTTATATTACATCTACACAGTAAGCTATACTACAACACTGGCATTGTTGGTAAGATTATAATACTGATGTTGACAGTCACGTGCATGAGGAAATTGAGCAAAAGCCTCCCGTGCCTACCTGTCCCTGATTCCTCCAAATGTCAAAAATATCAGCGCTGTCGCTATTGCTCTATCTCTGTTGTGCTGGCAGGGCCCCTGGCTAGCTTTAGGATGGGGGAGGCTGCTGGCCAGAAAACCAGCCGTGTGGTTAGAGGAATGGAGTTGAGCTCAGTCACACAGCCCTTGATTTTCAATCAACCGTGCCTACATAATGAGATCTCACTTTAAAAAAAATTCTGGCCCTGGATGGCATAGCTCAGTGGATTGAGCACAGGCTGAGAACCAAAGCATCGCAGGTTTGGTTCCTAGTCAGGGTACATGGCTGGGTTGCAGGCCACAGCCCCCAGCAACTGCACATTGATGTCTCTCTCTCTCTCTCTCTCTCTCTCTCTCTCTCCCTCTCTCTCTCTTTCTCCCTCCCTTCCCTCTCTAAAAATAAATAAATAAAATCTCTTAAAAAATTCTGGACAATGAGGCTCAAGGAGCTTCCTAGTTGACGAACATACTGGTGTACCAGGAGGGTGTCACCCCCACCCCCACCCATGGGGACAGGAGCTCCTGCGCTCAAAACCGTTCCAGACTTTGTCCTATGTACCTCTTCATCGGATTGGTCATTTGTATCCTCTGTAATAAAAAGGTAATCATAATTAGAATACTTTCCTGAGTTCTGCGAAGCATTCTGGTGGATTATTGAAACTGAGGGGCCACTGTGGGAACCCCCGAATCTGTAGCCAAGTCAGACAGTAGAGCAAGTAGCTGGTGACCCCATTTGTGGCCGGCATCTGAAGTAAGGGCAGTTTTGTTGAGGACCTTGCACTTCAACTTGTGGGATCTGGCAGTAACCCCAGGTGGTGTCAGAACCGGATGGAAATGTAGGACATCCAGGTGGTGTCAGATACCGTGAGCACGATGCTCTCCTCAGTTCTGCAAGCTGCTCTAGTGAATTATGGAACCTGTGGACTAGTGGGAACACCTGAAAGCATAGAAAACTGGTCAGAGGGAGGGAGGACTGAGGGTCCCTGAGCTTGAGGCCAGTGTCTGAAGGAAGGGCACTCTTGTGAAGGACTGTGCTCTTGGCTGTGGAGTGTGGCCAAACTCTGGGCAGTTGGTGACAGAAGTCATTTCATCCCTATGTGGAACGTTTTTCAGCCATAGAGAGGAAGGAAGCGCTGATGCAATGCTATAACCTGGAGGGACCTTGAAAACCTCGTGCCAACCGCAAGAAGTCTGTTACAGAAAGATCACATGTTCCACGAGTCCATTTATACAAAATGCTCAGAACAGGCAAATTTATAGAGACAGAAGCATGAGTGAGTAGGGGTGGACTTGGGGTGCTGCAGTCAAGGAGGTGATAGAAAAGAGAACCAAGTTTCTTCCTAAAGTGATGGAAATGTTCTAAAATGAACTGTGGCGATAATTACATGTATCTGCAAACATACCAAAGACCATTGGAATGTATACTTTAAATGGGTGAATGATATATGAATTACATTTCAATAAAGCTGTTCTTTTTTAAAGGGGTGGTCACCTTTTCATAAATATGTACTGAAATAGCTATGGGTGAAATAAAAGGGTATCTGGGATTTCCTTCAAAAGAATCCCTCAGGGGTGGGAGGGGACAGAGGGAACAAGACGGGCCGTAAGTTGACAATTGCTGACGCTGGGGGCTTGGAGGTTCATTATGTAATTCTCTACTCGGTCAGATATGTCGAACTTTTTTCCTAAGAAGAAAAAAAGAAGAATCCCATGCAGTGTTCTAATTCAGAAAAGAGGGAACTGTCACATCCTTTGATAAGTTATTATTTAGAGGCCCCGCCCAGAGATCCTCATATCCGAGATGAATTATTGAGGGGAATCCGAGAGGCATGCAGCCGTGGGGTATGGAGAGGCGGTGAGCGCAGGGGCTGGTTTGGGCCAAGGCAGTTCAGCCCCTGTGGCCCTTACTGACAACCTACGGGCCATGTTCACCGTGGTGGTGGAATTGGAGCGGCGCAGAGAAGCAGGTAAGGAACCGCACGCACTCACTCACGGAGGTAGTGCAGCTTGGGAGAGCCTCTTGGGAGAAGAGAGGGCTAAGCCATCTCAGGATGGGAAACTGAGGCCAAGGTTGAGGGCAGGACTCAGCAGTCCTGGGAGCTGGGTCTCCCTCGTTACAGTTGACACAAAGTCTACCTTTCTTAGGCCCCGAGGAAACCTGGCACCCCACGCTCCTTCTGGAGGGGCCCAACAGCCTCCGCCTGCTTCAGCCGGGGCCTCTGGAGATGCAGGTGGAGATGGGATGAAGTGTGGGTTGGGCAGGGGAAGACGGGAGCGACTCTGCTGACCCCAGCCCTGCCCACAGGAACAATGCATCACCTTCGACAGAGTCCTGGGCTCCGAGGCTGCTCAGGTAAAGGGGTCTGATAGGTTGATGGGAGGAGGACGGGAGCCCTCAGGCTCCTGGATTATGGGGTGCTGAGTGCTTCCGGAGCCCTCTGCCAGGCTGGGTCAGGGCACCTGGGGCAGGGGGCTGTGTCTGTGTCTCTTTGCAGGAGGCAGAGCTGGAGCTGCTAGCACAAGTCCAGCCCGCCCTGGGCTCTGTGGGCCGAGGATACAGCGTGGCCCTGCTGCTTCGGGGTCGAGAAAGAGAGGCGCCCCACCTCGTGCCTCGGGTAAGTCCCAGAGGAGCCACCGGCTACAGGTATCATGAGGCTCAGGTGTTGCCTCCTCTAGGAGGCCTTCACGAACCTTCCTTTCCCCACCATACGTGTACCCCTCCATGGGGCCCTTATCGAGCCCGGCGACCAATCCAGGATGTTTGGCCAGGGTCAGTTTATTCAGCAGTTGACAGGTCAGAGAAAGTAGGAGGCTGGGGCTGATGGGATGAAGGTCAGGGAAGGGTGGCGTGTAAAGATCAAATATCCAGGGAGATATTATTTTCACTGTCCTTGAGAATACAAATAATGATAATAAACTTGAAAGTTTTGTTTAATAGGATTTCACCCAAATGCCCCCAAATCAAAATAGCCCTCCTCAGAACCTTGTCACGGGCCCCCGCCCTAGCAAACGGCAGGTCCCACTAAAAACGTCTGCCCGCTTGTCTAGGTTCCAGTGAACTGTGAGGTCTGGGCTTAGTTGTGTCCCAGACACTATTTTCCCAACACCAAGCACAGCACACAGCACAGGTGTCACCCTCGGGAAATGTTGAAAGACATTTCTGCATCAATCCCTTAGTCAATTCATTTCTCAATCCCCATTGACGCCCACCCCCCCCCGCCACCACTTTTTTTCCACTTTAGCTGCTGCAGATGCTGTTTGAGGAAGCTCTGCCTCCTGGGGGCTCTGATCCGGTGTTTAGCACTCTTAGCCTGGTGCAGGTGAGACCCTGGAGGAAAGGGAGACCTGGGGAGCCAAGGCCGTGGCGAGGCTCCAGAAAGAGCCTGAGGCTGGAGGGCAGCCGGAAAAGGTCCAGCTCCATTCTGCTGCTCTCCAGTGGGGGCTTGCCTTTCTGGGGTCTGCTTTCTCCTGCCTGAAATAGCTGAACGTTGGTGCCTTGTTTGGCCCAACGGGGCTCCAGCATAAGGATTGCGTGAGCTGAACGCTGGGAAAAGGCTTGGTGTGTAACAGGTGTTGTGTTTGTGTGATCCCAGCTCAGCCCCAGTGGGAGGACGCGGGACCTGCTGTCTTCAAGGGCAGAGGAACTGTCAGTGCTGGAAGTGGCCCCTCTAGGCTTGTGAGTGTCCAGGGCCTGGCAGAATCCAAGGATATTTCTCCTAAGGCAGGGCTGACATCCCAGACGAGGCCCTTGGAAGTTTCTCCACACTGCCAGCCCAGAGGAGGGGAGCTCTGCGCTTGGGCTCTCGGGACTCCTTCTCACCCCTTTCCGCCATCCCACAACCCCAGACTTCTCACTCCTCTCACCCATGCACTACACCCCTTCAACTTGATCATCACCATCCTGGGTGATTCCAGCATCTCACTGAGCAGAACTTCAGTTGCTCCATTTGTAAAATGGGAGCAATCCCGACTACCCTGTTTGCCTCCCTGGGCAGACGACAGGGCAGAAAAAAAATAAGGTGGTAAAAATGAGAGGATTTCAGGGGATATACTGAGCTTGGAGCCTTGGGGATGATTCTTAGAGGCTCTTGGGGGTCCCAAGGGCTCCCCAGGCAGAGGTTCTGGGGAACTCTGGTGCCTAAGAGCTGAGCTCAGCCTCTTCTCCCTCCAGGGTGGTGGAAAATGCCACTGAAATGGAGGTGTCCGACTCAAGAGCTGCCTCAGAACTGTACTTGCAGGCCACAGCGGGTGAAGGCAGGTGAGAACAAGAGGGTACCTCCTGTCACCACTCACCTTATAGGCATTTGGCCTGATCCTAGCCTCTCCTCCACAGGGCCTGCTCTCTGCTTACTATCACTATGTCCCGCCCAGGGCCTGCCCCTCCTAAGGGTCCTGGGACTCAGAGTGTATGGCGAGGGGCCTTGAGGATCCTGCAACTCCCGGGAGCCCCGTAAGTCTGACAGCTTGGGGAATGGGTGAGTTGGGGGCGGGTGACTGCAATACGGATGTCGAGGGCCAGGGCAGCATCTGAGTCTTCTCCTTCCTCACCTCCAAGAGGCTGGAGGACTCCCTTAGCACTTCTCATGAGGCAGGTCTACTAGCAATAAACTTCTTCAGCTTTTGCTTATCTGGGAATACCTTAATTTCTCCTACATTTTTGAAGGGTAGTTTTGCCAGATATAGAATTCTTAGTTGACAGGTATTTTTTCATTCAGCACTTTAAATACGTCTTCTTACTGCCTTCTGGCCTCCATAGTTTTTGCTGAGAAATTTGTTTTTAATCTTACTGAGGATCCCTTGAGCATAACAAGTTGCTTCTCTCTTGCTGTTTTCAAGACTGTCTCTGACTTTGGCTTTTGACAGTCTGATTATAAAGTGTCTAGGTACGGGTATCTTGGAGTTTATCCTCTTTGGAATTTTTTGAGCTTCTTGGGTGTATAGATTCATCATGTCTTTCATTAAATTTGGGAAAACTTTGAGCAATAGTTCTTTAAACATTCTTTCTGCCCCTTTCTGTCTCTCTTCTCCCTCGGGGCTCCCATTAGGCATGTCTTTGTAGACCTGAGGGCACCCTACAGGTCCCCGAGTCTCATTTTCCTTCATTCTTTTTTCTTTCTGCTCCTCAGGCTGGATAATTTTATTTGACCTACAGTTAAGTTGGATGGGATTCTTTCTTGCACCTGCTCAAATCTTCCCTCTGGTGGATTTTTAATTTCAGTTGCAGTGTTTTTCAGGTCTAGAATTTCTACTTAAAAGAAAAATTTCTATCCTACTTTTGATATTCTCTATTCATTAAGATATCATTTTAGTGATTTCTTTCATTTCCTGAGCATATTTAAGATAGTTGAATTAGAATCTTTGTCTAGTCCTGACTGGTGGCTCAGTGGATTGAGCACCGGCCTCTGAACCAAAGGCTTATCAGTTTGATTCCTAGTCAGGGCACATGCCTGGGTTGCAGGCCAGGTCCCCAGTAGGGAGTGTGCAAGAGGCAACCACACATTGATGTTTCTCTCCCTCTCTTTCTCCCTCCATTTCCCTCTCTCTAAAAATAAATAAATAAATGAAATCTTTTTTAAAACCCACGAGTCTTTGTCTAGTGAATTCAGTGTCTGTTCTTTTCCCTATGAATGAGCCATACTTTCTGGTTTATTTGCATGCCTCATCCTTTTTTTCTGGTTGGAGACTGGCCAATCTGAGTATTTTTTGTAAAGTCTGTATTTATTGTATCGGTGTCTTAAGTCTCCCCCATTCCCCGTGGTGCTCCGAATTTTTGGATATAGCGATGCCGAAACTCTGAAAGCCAGACCCACCCCTGTGTCCAGGGTTTGCGCTGTGGCTTGCTCTTCAACGAAGCCTTCTGTTTGCTTAGTGACCTTTCCGAACAACTTCCTCAAGGACTGCATTCTTTGTGGTCCCTGAAGTCTCCATTCTACTCTTAGCAGCTAGCCAGTGACCTGACATAGCATTCCTTAAACTCCTGGGACACACACACACCACTTTAAAAAGGGAGAAAGAGAAAGAACAGGGAAGAAAGGGGAGGAGGAGGCAAGGAGGAGAAGGATGGGAAGGAGGACAAGAAAAGAAAAATTCCCCAGATTTCTACAGATTTGGCTCTGTGTTGGGTCACCCCTTATAGTTAGCCAGGCCGTTCACAGTTCTGCATTAGCCTCCCTGCTGCTGAGCCTTCTCAGGGCTTTTCTGAGAGAGCATCCTGCCCTGGGCACGCGCTTGGCTTTCTAGGTTCCCCAGTATACAAGGGAACTTTTCAAAGTCCTTATTTCCCCCAAATCTTACTCCCCAACTTTTCCCTTGAATCTTTCCATATATCTATTGCTTACAGCAACTGTTATCTTTTCATTGCTTTTAGAGAGAAGGGAAGGGAAGGAGAGAGAGAAGGTAAGAAACATCAATGTAAGAGAGAAACTTTCCTCTTGTACATGCCCCGACTGGGCACCAAACCTGAAACCCAGGCATGTGTCCTGACCGGGAATTGAACCCATGACATTTTGATTTATGGGACTACGTGCCACCCAACTGAGCCACGTTGGCCAGGGTCCAATTGTTATTTTTGCTTGTTCTTTTGTCTTTCAGTGTTTTGGGGGCAGGGAAGGTTATGTTTTTAAAACAATGTTTTCAGTGTTTTATGTCCTCTGGTATAGCTACTCTGCCCTGAAAGGGTTCCAAGAAAAGTTAAGTAAGGGACGCCCCTTCAGTCGGTCCTTTAGGAAAACCCCGATCAGTCAAAACAAACACAGTTCCTTGGGAACAAGATCTGCTCTGCTCCCTCCACGACCAGGTGCCCAGGCCAGCAACTTGGACTGTTCTCTACCAGACACCTCTGTGCTGGGAGGAGACTGCGGATAGGGGAAGTGACAATGTCGCAGAGATTTCTTACCCTGTCAAAGCTGCCTTTCTCCCGGACAAGCATGCACGTGGTTCCTATAAACCTTCAACTACCTCCCAGAGTTCTAGCAAGGCTGATTCTGGCCATTTTTGCCAGACGTTTCTGGGGAGAGACAGATCCCCAGAGTTCCCTACTCTGCCATTTTTGTTGATGTCCCCTTGCTTTGCCATTCTAACACTGGGGTGTTGTCTTTTTTTTTTATTGAAGTGCAAGAGTTCTGTATATTCTAGATACACGAGCATAGTCAGTAGACAATTCACATTTTTTATTATGAGAATATGTGATTTGCGTAATTAAATAATGATAAAATAAAAATCTGCACAAGGTCGCCAATCTGTCTGAGCGTGCACAAAGGTGACAGGAAATGGTCAAACTTTCCATCAGAGCAAGATCTGGGACAGTTTCTTTCCCCGTCCACCAGTGGACAAGCTTCTTCCTCCTTCCCTCTGGCAGAGACTGCCCCCTGCTGCAGGTGTTGGCTGGTAAGGCTGCTGATGAGCAGGTGGAGGGCTCTCTGCCCTGGATTGTCTCCTGGCTCCTGGAAGGAAACAACTACAATGGCATTCTTCTTCGCCTAGACCCTCAAGGTGGCCTGGGGGTCACCCCGGGGAGCGGGGAGTGTGGGGTTCTTTAGGAAGCTCTGGGATCTGGTCTTAGGTCTGCTCCACCCTCTCTCCTTACCAGCCACAGCCCCAACCCCAGCCCAGAGAGATCCTGACTCCCTGAAAGGGCCAGGATTCAGCAAGGTCCCAGGGTGGGCGGCCGCCGTGGAAGTCTGGAGAGGCAGGGCCAATAGTAAAAACAACCCCTCACCCTTCAGAGGCCTTCAACAGTTTACCAAGCATTTTTACACTAATACCTTTGGTTCTTACTAAACCCCATGAAGCAGCTCTAATTTACTAGGAAAGGGAGGATCAAAGAAGGAAAGGTAAACTTGCCTATATTCACACACCCATTAAAAAAAAAACAACAAACGTTGGCCTCCTGCCTCTAAAATCAACAAACACACATTCATTTGGTGAATGCATTCCCAGCCCTCCCCCTGGGCCAGGCCCTGGGGACCATGGAAGATCAGTTGGGATAGTTCACACCCTCAGGGATAAAGCAGACACGTGTTTACAGGCCAGTTTGGTGTCCTGATTAAGGGCACAGGCAGACCTGGGCTCTCAGCTCTGCCCGTCCCGGAGAAGTTGCTTGCTCTCTCTGAGCCTACGGTGCCTCATCTGGAAACTGTGGGGGGAAGCAGGACAAAACTTTTAGAGTTGCTGCCTCACTGCAAAGTTGTGTGGACAAAAAGAGGCACCCAGAGAAAGCCTCAGCACAGGGACGTCGGCACATGTAAAAAAGCCTGGTAGGCATTCACTGTTTTTATGAATAGTACTGTTAATAAAAATTGAAGGAGTCATAGGCAGTATGTTTTGGAGTCCAGAGGAAGAAGTGATTCACTTTGAGTCTCCTTTTACCAGGCAGCTCCCTGAGCTTGCTCCAGGCTGCTCTGCTGGGGGCCGCGGGAAGGAGGATGCGGGTAAGACAGGTGAAGCCCATCCTGTGGGATGCAGCAGAAGAGGCCCGAGCCCGCAGGGCTGGCCTGAAAAGCCTGCGTTCAGGCCTCCTTGGGGCCCCGCTGGCAGACAGTGGGCTCAGCCAGCTGGGCAGGGCACTGCGGGAGTTGCAGGTGAGCTAGGTAAGCCCTGAGGGTCCCTGGGTCAGCAGTGGCCAGAGCCCACCTTGAACCGTCTCTCCATAGGTGGTGAAATCCTGGAGCCAGCACCCAGGCAGCCGCTTGCCCAAGGGGGTCAGAGCTGAGGTGCAACCAGAACCACAGGTAGGTCTTTTTATCCAACCTCTTAGGAGCCCCATTGTGGTCTGCCTTCCTTCCTCTGTTTGCAGAGCACTCCCAGGGGGCCCTTCCTTTACTCATTAATTTATTGATACCGAAACATTTATTGACCACTCACTATGTGCTGGGCACTGTGCAATGTAGGCCCTAGGAAATCCCTGTCCTCGTGCAGGTTACAATCTGCTGGAGAGAAACAATTACAGCATCATACCAGTGCTAATTTAGAGGGCTTATCAACTCGAGGTTCTATGAGACATCTAAGTTAGTCTTGGCAAGAAAGGGAAAGAAGACTTCAGGGGAAGTTGATTCCTGGCAGAGGTGGCCAGCAATGAATGAAGAACATTTAGGCAGAGAAAATAACAAGGAAAGTCTCAGAAGTAAGTGAGTGCTTGATCTCTTTGTGTGACTGTAAGCAGCTTAATTTGTTGGAGAATAGAGTTCGAGGAAGAGAGTCCGGAGAGAGGAAGGGTTGGAGAGGGAAGCCGAGGCCAGGTCACAGAGGGCTCTGTAAACCTATTGAGATGTTTGGACTTTATCTTGACAGTCCAAAGGAAGCCACAGAAGTATTTCAAGCCAGGAGGACAACATAGCTCCCACTTTTCTTTTATTAAAAATTTGTTTATTTATTTTTAGAGGAGAAGGGAGGGAGAAAGAGAGGGAGAAAAACATCAATGTGTGGTTGCTTCTCCAGCACCCCCTACTGGGGACCTGGCCCGCAAGCCAGGCATGTGCCCTGACTGGGAATCAAACCGGTGACCCGGTGCTTCTCAGGCTGGCACTCAATCCACTGAGTCATACCAGCCAGGGCTGCTCCCACTTTTCTTTTTTGTTTAGTCCTCACTCGAGGATATGTTTACTGAATTTAGAGAGAGAGGAAGGAAGGGAGGGAGAGAGAGAGGGAGGGAAAAAGAGAGAAAGAAAGAGACAGAGCAACATTGATTTGTTGCCTCCCATATGCAACAAACCTGGCATTCAACCCACAACCTAGGTATGTACCCTCACTGGGGATCAAACCCACAACCTTTTGGTGCACAGGACAATGCTACAAACAGCTTAGCCACAGGGCCAGGTCTGCTCCCACTTTTCATGTGAGCAAACTGAGGCTCAGAGAAGGGAACTGAGTATCCCAGGGACACAGGGATAATCAAGTCCACAGAGGTGCAAACGCCCAAGTCCTTAGACTCAAAGTGGCACTCTTCTATTCTCTCAGGGTGCACACCCACCCTTGTGTGGAAGAGGGTAGTTTTTCATGATTTGCCGCAGGGTGGCTGGAAGGCTGCCCCTGCCTAGCTTCTCCTGGTGTTTCCCTTTTCACAACACTTGCAACTTGTTTTTACAGCCCTGGGCCTTGGAAATTAGGCCTGTAAGCTCCCATTTACTGGGCAGTGCAGTGCTTTGGGTGCCATAGCCCATTCCATACTCTCTATAACTTTAATCAGCTCCATGTTATAGATGAGGAAAAATGAAGACTCAAAGACTAGCCACCTGCCAGAGGTCATACAGCTAAGAAAAGGAGGCGCTGGGGCCTGATCTGTTTGATTTCAAAGCCCTGGGCTTAGCACACACTGTCCTGGGAGGAAGCACGTGGACTTCCCTCTCCTAATATCTCCTCAGCAGGCGATAAATTCAGAAGCAAGTCCAGGCCTCCAGGGAGAACCCCAAGGTGGGTCAGGGAGAACCCCAAGGTGGGCGGAGCTGGGGGTCTTCACCATTGACCTGCTTAATTGCATTCTCCGCCAGTGGCAGGAAGAGCAGCATCTCTAGGACCTGGGCTCCACCAAAAGCATCCTCTCAGGGACTCTGAGGAGCAGGTACCCCATGTACCCAGAGCAGTGGGAGGCTGTTGGGGGAGTGAAAAGTTGCAGAGTTAATATGTCTCTGGCTTACCCTGCCCCACAACGGGGAGAGATAAGGAACTTCTGGCAAATAAAGGACCTAAAGGCTTACTGGATCCCTAAGGGAGGGGCGTGGGAAGGCCCGGTATTCCTATGGGGCTGGATCAGGAGTATGCGATTCTTAGGGCCTTCCTGGCATCTATTGGCAGAGCCAATACTGTTCCTGTCCCCTCCATGGCCTCCAGGTCTTTGTCCAGACTACATGCTCTGTCAGGCCAGTTAGTTCCGGGTGGTAGTTCTGGCAGCAGCCCTGGTAATGGGATTCTGTTGGAAATGTTGGCCCCTATGTCCCAGTGCTGTGTACATTCCTGGGCTCCTGGCTGAGCCCGGACTGATGCCACCTAGGCCCGACAGGCCCCAGATGTGGCCCTGCAGTTCCTCCTGGCCCAGGCCCGGAGGAAGAGACTGCGAGAACAACACCAACTTTGGATCCAAGAGGAACTGAAGCATTTGGATCAGGAGGAGGCAGGTGACGAGGTCAAAGGCCTGGTGGCAGGAGAAGAGGTAAGGAGGGTCATGTAGGGGACTTTAGCTCCTTCTGGTTGGGCCAGGCACTGTGCTGGGGTGCTGAGATCCAGTGTCAGACTGGGCCATACCTTCTCCCCTGGCCCTCACAGCTCTGTCGGGGGTAGATGAGGCAATTCTTGGTGCTAAGCACTGTGATGGGGGAGCAAGGGGCTTGTGGGAACAAAGAGGTGCACCTGACCCAGGCTGGAGTGGACCAGAGAAGATGGCATCCAAGCTGAGAAGTAAAGGACAAATGAACCAGCCAGAGAGACCAACTGGACTCTGAGCCCCAGAGGGGCAGTCTGCACTCACCACACAGAGGCATTCAGTACACAGAACTTGTCTGAACAAATTAAAGGACAAAACTTATGTGCATGGGGTTTGGAGGGTGGGGTGGAGAAACACACCTTCCAAGCGAGGACAATAATATACGGACAAAGGTCCAGAGGCGAGCACTGGCACCATGAGTTCTGGGTCGTGCAAACTGTCCATCTGGCTGGAGCCTAGCAGGTGCGTGGTCAGAGGCAGAGCTGAAGAGATCAGCACATGCCCTGCCTCTGCAGTTGGGCTTTACCCTGAGGATGATGGTGAGCCCTTGAAAGGCATGTCATCGCAGCTCTGCCCCTCACTGGCCGTGGGAATTTGGGCTTGTTAGGTTGCTCCTCCGATCCAGTTTCCAGATCTGCAAAATGGCAGCTACCTCATAGGGTCGACATTAGGTAAAATGAGATCATACACTTGAAGCATGCAGAACAGAGTGGGTACACAGGTGGCACTCAGGAAAGCTGTCCCTTGGTATCCGGGGAAGATTGGGTCTAGGACCCCCATGGACGCCAAAATTCACAGATGCTCAAGTCCCTGTATAAAATGGCACAGTATTTGCATGAAACCTTCCCACATCCTCCTGCATACTTTAAACCATCTCTAGATTACTTGTAATACCTGATATAATGTAAATGTTATGTAAGTAGTTGATATATTATATTGCTCAGGGAATAGTGAAAAGAAAAAATAGTTTGTACATGTTCAATTCAGACATGCAGCCACCGTGGTGGGCCAGACTACAGAGCACACATCAGCAATGCTACACAATAGTGTAACATCTACAAAATGTATTTTTCAGTCTGTGGTTGGTTGAATCCATGAGCGGGCTGTGGATACAAAGGGCTGACTATGTTATCCCTTAAGGCCTCCACGGCGAGCCAGAGGTGGCACCGGGAGCAGGCAGCGCTGAGACTCCAGCTGGAGGCTCTTCAGGCAGAGCGGGACACTGCGGAGCAGGACCTGGTAGCCCTCTATGACCTGCACGTGCAGGCCACTCGAGCTCAGACTTGCCATCTGTTACAGGTCAGTAGGGACAGGCTTTGGGTGGGTGACAAGGATGGCTGACAGACATCTCTGAATCTGGGCACAGGTGTTCCGAGCCTGGCGGGGGCTGTGGGAGGAACAGACCAAGACCACAGAGCAGCAGCACCGCCACCTGCTGGCTGGCATTCTGCAAGACACCATCAACCTGGCCGCTCAGAACCAGGAGCTCCAAGCCCAGAACCGGCAGCTGCGGGAGGTTGCAGACTAGGCTGGGTCCTTCCCCTGGGGAGAAATCTGATGACCAGGAATCCTTCAGAGGCAGTTTCCTCTCTCCTTCTTCTTTTTTTAAAAAATTTTATTTATTGATTTTAGAGAGAGAAAATAAAAAGATATTGATTTGTTCCACTTATTTATGCATTCATTGGTTGATTCTTTAATGTGTCCTGACAGGGGATGAAATCCACAACCTTGGCATATCGAGATGATGCTCTAACTAACTGAGCTACCTAGCCAGGGCCCTCTCTTCTTATTCTTAAGGGTCCTATAAAGGAAGTTGAGACACAATGACCAAGTGAAATTTCATTGTAATTAGTACCACTAGCCAGTGTCGTTGTGCCAGTCCCTGCTAAGCACCTAATATCCATTATTTCATTTAACCTTTCTGCTCCCCAAAATAGCTGTTGGTACCATTGACTCCCATTTCAGAGCTAAGGCAGCTAAAGACAGGAGGGGTTAAGTATCTGTCCAAGGACAGTCAGCCATAAGCGACAGAAGCAGAATTCAAACTCAAGTCTTGGTGGCTATACCTCCACACAGCACTTGGTAGTGGTTCACAAGTGTGCACCGGTCACCTAGGGAGCTGATTTAAAAAAGAGATTCCGAAACCCCGCTCCCTAAGATAACGCTTCAATAGGACTAGGACGTTTTTAAAGACAAGTTGACCGGGCATTCTACCACGGCAGCAGGTCCTAACATTCCTCTGGCACTGAGAACAGATGACAGGCAGTGAGGGACCTAGAGGAAATGAGAATCAACCACACCGAGTCCCAGAGTTCTCTGGCCTCAGTCTGGCTTGTCCTGTTGCGCCTAGTGCCTTCTATTCCCAAGATGCCTCCGAATTCCCCAGCACCCAAGTTTCATGTTTCAGGGAAACTTCAAAAGCTCTGTGACAGAGAACAGCCCTTTCTCATAGTCTGAGTTAGCCCAGGGTTAAGATACTAAGGGAGTCAGGGGAATACAATTGTTTGAGAAGAGCTATGTAACACAGAAGACACAGGACACGGGTCATGGCCGAATGGAGGAACTGCCCTCACTCCAGAAAGCTTTAAGACTTTATTGCTTATGCAGTTAGACACAATTGAGCTATACGTTTCCCTGTGCCTGGTCCCAGGTCACTCTGTGCAGAGCTTCCGTGGCTGCTGGGAGCTGGGACACTGCTAGGCAGGAGCAGGACCTAGAGTGGGGAGGATGGTAACTCCTAGGAGCTCTAGATGGGGCAGTGGGCTTCAAGAGGGTCTTTGGATGAATAGAGAGGTCAGGAGTATAGACTTAAGCCAGGGCCCAGGGACATCTCCTGAGACAAATTAAGTCCCAGCCCCTCTGGGGTTTCCAGAACAAAGGCTGGATGTGGAGAGCAGCACTGTGGAGGGAGTAGGAGGCACTGTCTCCAGATGCTGCTAGAACTAGGGGAACTCGGCAGAATGGCCGAGGCAATTGGGCTTTTCTGCAAGACAGTTGGGGGCAAGTATCCTTTATGGGGGAATCATGCACCACAGCTGGGCAGCCAGCACCAGGCCTTGGGGATATGGGTCTGCTGGGGTGGCCACAGTAGGAAAGAGAAACCAACTGTCACCCACTTTAAGCAACTGCATTCACACAGAACGAGCCAAAGAACCTTCTCGGGAATGGGGTCACTTCTCGGGCCTAGGTACTGATGCTCCTTTAATTTCTTGGGAAGAACTGGGGGGAGAGGGGGTGTTTGAGTTTCCAGTTCTTAACCAAAGCCACGATCCAAGTCTCCCAGGGGTACACCTCCACCTCCCCAGCTTTTCTCACAAGGCACTTGTTACGGGGCTGCTGAGGGTAAGGGGGGCTAGGAGGTGGCTCTAATGGCGACGCCCAATCTCCAGGGTCAGGAGTCAGGGTGGAGGTGGTCAGAGGCTAGTGGCTGCCGTAGTACAGGCGCACCGCCAGGCCAATGAGCAGTGTGGCCAGGAAGAAGGCGGCTGTGAGCTGCAGCCGCAGCAGGGCTGCTGAGAGCACAGCATTGACCACCAGGGAGCAGGACACCACAAAGAGGCGTGTGATGCTGCTGCCGTGCTTCATGACAGCCGACATGAGCAGTCCATTTAGCGCCTGGCTCAGCACCACGAGCACTGCCCATCCCGAGAAGCCCTCCAGGAGGCCTGGGCCAGGGCCGCCACCTGCATGCAGTCCTAGGTTTAGGAGCACACCGAAAGTGTAGAGGAAGAGGTTCTGAAGTGCCAGGGGCAGCCGCTGTCGCTTCAACAGCAGCTCTGTGTACACGGACGACAAGCCTGAGATGAGGCAGTACAAGACAAGGAGCAGCAGTCCTAGTGGAGTGATATGCAGGGGCATGGGACCAGCCACAGCTGCTGGAGGGGACCCAGGAAGGGTGTTCCCAGGGTCTTGGAGGCCACCAGCTGCATAGCAGGCCCCCGCTGCCATCAGCAGCAGCAGTGCTAGGCCCTGGCGTGCGGAGAGGCGGTGCCGGAGGCAGAGGCAGTAGAACAGGGCTGTGCTTCCAATCTTGAGATTGCTCAGCACCTGGTAGGTGCTGGGGTCCATGTACCGCTGAAGATAGATCACCAGGTTGTTGTTAGCGCCATAGAGCAAGGCTGATAGTGCAAAGGGGGCAGCCTGGCGCCAAGGTGGGGCCCCCTGGGGCCATGCTTGCCAGCCCACCAGGAGGGAGAAGGCGCACAACAGCAGCTTGGTCAGTTCAGTCAGCAGCACGGCTGAGGAGGGTCGGAAGGGCACTCGGCCATCCACGTGGCACAGTGCCAACAATGGGGCATGGGCACCATACATGGCAGTGGACAGGAGTAGCATCAGGGTCCAGCGGGCCTGCCTGGGTGGGCCCAGGCCTGCCGCACCCCCATCTTCTACACTCATGCTCACACCAGACCCTGGGTGAAACTAGCAAGGGGCAGTGAGGATTATGATATGTTTGGAGAGAATCAAAATATGGAGCTGGCTGTCAGGAGAGAAGAGCCGTGGTACATGGCCAGAGAGAATGCTAAGGATCACAGTCAACTGTGAACTCCACAGTCAGGGTGGGAAGAGTTCTGGTGGCCCCAGAAGCCACGGTCTTGGGATCAGTCCCATGGGGTTAGGGAGGAAAGGAGGAGTCCAGGGTGGTGGCTATGAGCCACTGTGCACCCTCTGCAGGAAAGGAAGCAAGGACAAAGGTGGCAAGAAAATGGGAGACAGCAAATGGGTGACAGCTGGGGAAGCCAGATACAGTGTCTGTGGTCGAGAGGTCCACCTGCAGGTCCCAGCTGCTCATCCTGCCTCCCCGTGGGATCCAGAGCTAGCCAGGCCCCTTGCGCAGTGACCGCAGATAGTCCCTCAATGTCTTCTCCACATTTGGCACGGCATATGCCTGAGCCGCGTAGATGCCGGTGCAGGTGCCCACAGCAAAGCCCAATACTGCGGATGCCCTCAGTTTGGCCACCACATAGCCGGCCAGGAAGCCTTTGAGGAATGGGGAGGACAAGAGTGAACCATCCTGTGGAAGAAGATTCATGAGAAAACTCAGTAGGTTCTCCCCTCTTCTAACCAGGAGCTACTCAAGCTAGGCTTACAATGGCCCACCACCTGCTCCCCCTTAATCTGGAAAGCTGTAGTATTCTCTCCAAAGACTTTCTCAAGGTTCTGGGGGCACAAAAAGAACCTAGGAGTTCTGATTACATAATCTCAGAACCCCAGGGTTAGAAGGCTCCAAACACAGAACCTTACTGCCACAAGGCAACAGAGAAGTCCCTGAGGAATCTGAACCCTGCTTGCTTCTCATATCCTGGCATGCTCTCCCACTACTGAAGCTAAAGGAAACTGCTTTCACCCCTCTGTTCATCATGCTATTTCCCATGAGAATTCTGCCTCTGTTGTTCCATCTGCCTGGAATATTTCTCCTCTCCTCTTCACCTTTTTAGCCCCCACTTAAAGAGATCCCAGTTCAAGTGTCATTTCCCCAGGGAAACACTCCTTAAAGTTACAGAGAACAGGCCCCCGATAACCATTTGCTCAATAGATCTCTACCACCCATTCAAAAGCGTATTGGGCAATGAAGCCCGGGGGTTGGGGTCAGAAGCAGCATTACCTGTCCCACACCACTACTGACTTCGTCTTCCACACGCTGCTGCAGGCGCTCCAGCTGGTTCTTGAGAAACGCCAGGTCCTTAAGCTTGGGCAGAGAATCCTAGGACAAGGGAGACACTGTCTCCAGCAGACTGACCTAGCCCCACCTCCTGCTCAAGTCCATCCATCAGAAGCTGGGATGGGGTGAGCCTGAGAAACCTCTACACATAATACCTTCCTGAGTTGACAGTGATAAAGGAAGGAAGGCACTGACAAGGACAGAATTCACATTGGGGACAGGAAGGGGGTGACAGATGGGATGTGCATCACTAATTTACAGGAGCTTTATATAGTAAGCAATGTGTAGGGACGGTGGGAGGGGCAGCGAGGGGACCTGCAATCAGATCAGGAAAGTACTAATGACATGACCATAAGCTATCTGGAAGTGGAGGCCAGTCTGTCCTGTCTGCTGAGTTCCAAGGTCTAATGCAGGGTAAATGTGAGTGGTGCCGAACTTCCAGGCCGAAGGTAAGAAATGGTCCGCGGCTTCTGCCGAGGTTTTTCCCCCTTGCCCCTTAAGGCCATCCCAAGTTGAATGTGTGACTATACACGCGTGTACGAAGGTAGGTGATGGGTAATGGCTGTTTGGAGGTGCGCGGGTAAATGAACGGAGTGACTCTGATGGCCCGTGAGTATGGGATTCAGTGTGTGCCCAAGAGAGTGGCTGACTGAGGGTGTGCCAGTGTGAATCGGGAACAACGTGTCTCAGGGAGGGAAAATTTCGAGGGCTAGGGAATGGAGCAGAGTGAGGAGTGTGTCAGAGTGAAAGGGTTCGAGTGTGTGTGAGTAACTAGGGATCGTGATGGTCCCCCTGAGGGGACAGCCAGGGGATCCCAAGCTCTGTTCACCTCGCGTAGCGCTCCGCCACTCTATTCCCCACTGTTGAGGCTGTCGACAGGAGCAAAAGGGAAAACAAGGGGCACCCCCACCCATGAGCTGCTCCAGTGTCGTCTTACCCCAGTTCTAAAAAGGTGTGACTACTACCCTGACTGCCGATCACCCCCATGGTCACTCACCTTGTCATCCGCCATCTTCCCCGCCGAACTTAGAGCGCAGGCGCAGCCCCGCCTCCCTTTTACCAAGCGCTAAGGCCATCATTACCTAAAGCGGAGGCACTTCCGGGGCATTTTTGGTAAGGGTGGACGCGCTTTCCTGGCGCCGGAGCCCAGGCGGTAGCCTGCCCACAGATACTCTCAAATGACGACTGCTGTCGTTTCCCACGCTACGCGAACGCGTGCGCGCGCATACGACCGGGGCGTGATGATCTCATTTGTGTGCGTTTGAACGCGACACTCATCCGCCGCCTGATGAGCTTGTAGGTGCGAGGTGGTGTCGGTGGGTGCGCAGGCTACAGTGCTCCTCCCCTGGACTCAGGCACGAATCGCGCACCGACTCTGGATCCAGACGCCTGTTTACATGTACCACCCCTTGGCGGGGGTTGCTGCTCCGCCCGCCCTATCTCATCACCCCACCCCTTGCCCCAGCCCCGCCCCGTATTTGGGCGGTGTCCTCGGGCTTCGCTGACTTGGGCGCAAAGAGGCTGGGCTTTTCGGCGCAGCTGCTCCAGAGGTCGAGCTGCACTGGGAGTGCAAGCAGGCGGAGGCCGGCAGGGACGCGGCCGGGGCAATGCTGGGCAAGGATTACATGCTGGCCATAATTCTGGTCAATTGCGATGGTGTGCACGGAGGGGCCTGATGGGAGGGAGCACCGAGAGGGGAGGAGGGAGCGTGAAGGGCTACCCCAAGGCTCAAAGGCAGGGAGGTGGGGAACGTCCTGGGGTGAGAACTGGGGTACAGACGAACCCTGATCTTTGTACTGTAAAAATTACCCAAGTTTGGGAGCCTGGGCCTCCAACATGAGTGTTGACAAGGTGTTTATGTGAACCCACGCCTGTGCCCTCCTTCTCCAATCCTGTGTTCCCCTCCTCATTCCGTGTTCCCGTAGATGACTTGTGGGGCGACCAGAGTCTGGAGGGAGAGCCAGGCCTGCCCCCTGGCTGGAGGAAGATTCATGATGCTGCAGGTACTTACTATTGGCATGTGCCCAGCGGTAGTACCCAGTGGCAGCGCCCATCCTGGGAGTCAGGAGATGCAGAGGGCCCATGCTCGGTAGGTGGAGGGTGAGGAGGAGCCCTGAGCCCGTGTGTGGACCTAGTGTGCCGCTGCACTGACCTCGTTCCCTCTCTGTAGAGGACGGAAGGGATTTGGGAACTTCGGCCGCCCAAAGGAAGATCCTTCTCCAGCCTGGAGAGCTCACTGGACCGGAGGTAACTGGGATAGATAGACCGGGCCAAATGAAAGGCTTGGGTGCCATGGCACTCAGAGATGCAGCTGGATCCACAGTCTGCTTTCCAACGCAGGTTCTAGACTCTGGCCCATGTTCTTGGCTCTCAGTATTTTGAGTTTTGTCTTTGTTCCTGACTCTGTGTTTTACCACATGTTTTTCTCCACATTCTGGGTCTTGACATATGTTCTAGACCCTGGCTGCTGTCCTGGCCTCTGTTCACGGAGTTTCCCATCCCATGTTCTAGGGTCTCTTGTTCTGATTTGGGGCTCTGGTCCACATTTTGGACCCTATTCCATGTTTGCAACTTTTTAAATTTTAATACATTTTAAAAAGATTTTATTTACTTATCTTTAGAGATAGAGCAAAGAAGAGAGAAAGAGAGGGAGAAAAACATCAATGTGCTATTGCCTCTTGTGCACCCCCTACTGGGCACGTGGCCTACAACCCAGGCATGTACTCTGACTGGGAATCGAACCGGTGACCCTCTGGTTCACAGGCTGGCACTCAATCCACTGAGCCACACCAGCCAGGGCCACATTTGCAACTTTTATTTTATGTCCTGTGTCCTGATTTTTTCTTCAGATTCACACTCTTTATGTACATTTATTTAATATACCCTGGGCCTTGCCTTTGTTTTATATTTGGGACACTATATTCTGGGTCTTGTCCCGCATCTACTGCCTATCAAGTAGTCTGTGCCTCACCAGTGTCCCTTCTATAGGAAGTATGGTCTCTTATCAGCTCTGCTCTGTTTCAGTAACTCCCTGTCCTGGTATGGTGAGGAATCCTACATCCAGAACATGGAACCAGGGGCTAAGGTAGTGACTTGGGCCTGGGGGTCAGCCCATGGCATTGAAGGGTCCCGAGGGAAAGGTCAGGGGTGGGATTGGGCTAAGCAGAGATGCTCGGGGTGAAGGAAGGGTATACCAGACATTTTATATGTGTGGAGCCTGTGGTATCTCCTACTCTACTCCACCTCTACTCATTTGGTGCCCTTCTGCCCTTTCTCCCAATCCGTCAGTGCTTTGCAGTCCGCTCTCTGGGTTGGGTAGAGGTACCCGAAGAGGACCTGGTACCAGGGAAGAGCAGTATCGCAGTCAATAACTGCATCCAGCAGCTGGCCCAGACCCGCAGCCGGAGCCAGCCCCCAGATGGTGCCTGGGGCGAGGTGAGCTGGCCAGCCCTTCAACAGGTGCAGCCCTGGGTCTAGCAGAGGTAGATGTCTCTGAATCATCTGTTTCCCATGGCAACCACTTATCTCCAGGCTGCGCTCTGTCCTTGGCAGGGCCAGAACATGCTAATGATCCTGAAGAAGGATGCCATGAGCCTGGTGAATCCCCTGGACCACAGTCTGATCCACTGCCAGCCTCTGGTGCACATCCGTGTGTGGGGCGTGGGCAGCTCTAAGGGCCGGTGAGGACTCCTACATCCCTCCAAGTGAAAGTTGCTCCTTCCACCCCACCCTGCAAGCTGTTCTCCCCACTGATGCTGATCCCTTGTACTTGAACCTCTGGACACAGATCCTCTGACATGGACCCAAGCTCTGTCTCCCCTGCCTGGTGCAGCCCTAGTTGGGGAGGGTGGGCCCAGCTCAACAGGGACAGATGGGGGACAGCCTGAGAGGCTGAGCTGATTCTCTTCTGTGCTCCCACATGCTTCCGGAATAGTGACAGGTGAGTTGCAGCCGGGTGCCTTGAGCCCCAGCCTTGACTTCTCTGTCCGTCCTTTCCACATCCCTTGCCTGACTTTCTAGGCTCCTCCTGCAGGCATTGCAGGCCCCTATCCCTATCCAGCCTCTACCCCAGCCCCATCTCTGACCTGCCAGGGACTTCGCTTTTGTGGCGGGAGACAAAGATAGCTGTATGCTCAAGTGCCATGTGTTTCGCTGTGACGTCCCTGCCAAGGCCATTGCCAGTGCCCTACATGGGCTCTGTGCCCAGGTAAGGGCCAGGAGTTGGGTAGGGAATGTGGGAGGGAGCTGGGTCTGAAGCTGCCAGGGAGGCTGGTGCAGGGTGGTATTGGCTCCCTTGCCTCCATTCCCCTCTCCCCGTGCCTCAGGCTACCTGCACTGTGTTTCAGATCTTGTCAGAGCGAGTAGGGGTCGGTGGTGATTCCTCTTGCTGTTCCTCGGACGCCATCTCCCCTGAAGATCTGCCGAGGCAAGGTATGAGGAGGGAGGTCTGCATTGCAGCAACAGGCTGTCTAGGTGAAAGCTGGGGAGGTAGTCCTGGTTACTTAGTACTTCCCTGGAGATACGGGGCCTCTGATGTGTCCTGGTCCCGGGAATCCCAAGCCCTGAATTGGAGGTGCATCCATGGTCTTTTCTTCTGTCTTATGCTAGCTCCAGCTCTCTCAGAAGGGTGGGAAAGGGGTAGTTGAGACAGCACCTGGGCCAACATGCTGTATATGTTTCAGTGGAGCTGCTGGATGCCGTGAGCCAGGCTGCTCAGAAGTACGAGGCACTGTACATGGGGACCCTGCCAGTCACTAAAGCCATGGGTGAGGACTGAGCGGGCGGGGGGTGGGGGGGCTGCATGGGGCCAGGGGAAGGTGGATGAGGTAGGCTCTACCACTGTTTCACAGCGTGCTTCCATGGCCCTGTACGGCCTGGGATGTACAACCTTTCCCAACTCCGGATTCTAAGCCCAGCGCCAGGAATTCTCTTCCCATCTCTCTGAATTCCAAGTCAGGGAGATGGGCCTAGACACTCCCCGAAGATTCTTTCCTTCTTTACGTCTGGGAGACACCATGGTGGACATGTTTCCCCAGGAATGGATGTGCTGAATGAGGCCATTGGTGTCCTTACCACCCGGGGGGACCGGGATGCCTGGGTCCCCGCCATGCTCAGTGTGTCCGACTCTCTCATGACTGCTCACCCCATTCAGGTACCAGAAGGTGAAGTTGGGGGTTGTGGAGGGGTGGGCAGGGCTGCTGAGGGTCACTGCTTGCTGCTAGAAGAGCTCAGTGGGCCCAGCCTCTGCCTGGCCCTCTGGTGACTGGGCCTGGTGTGGGCAGGCAGAGGCTGACGCAGAGGAGGAGCCACTGTGGCAGTGCCCTGTGCGCCTTGTGACCTTTATTGGTGTTGGCCGCGACCCGCACACCTTTGGCCTCATTGCTGACCTGGGCTGTCAGAGCTTCCAGTGCGCAGCCTTCTGGTGCCAGCCCCATGCCGGGGCACTCTCCGAAGCTGTGCAGGCTGCTTGCATGGTGAGTCAGGGCTGGGAATGGTGGGTAGGGTTGCCCTGCAGCTGCTTCGTCCTGGTGGCTGGGGCTCAGGATTGGCACCCTGTCTAGAAATCACAAACCAGTGATACCAGGGCTGACTGTGGTTTAGAGTGTTTCATTTGGTCCTCATGCTGTTTTTAATAAGTTTTAATGAGGTGCCAATATTTAAAGGCCAGGACATTTCACACAATAATTGCTATTTCTTTTTTTTTGGTTGTTAAATATCAGAAGCTCCGACACTGGGTCCACATGCATAAATTTCAACATTCAGCTGGAGTTGTGTAGGGCTGTGCCCTGTAGGGTGGGCATTGTCTTTCCTTTTTGTCTTACGTAGGTTATTTCCTGGTGGGCATTTGAATGTGGAATGCTCTCACTCTTCAGTTTACTCATTCACTCAACGAATACGAGTGCCTGCAGGAAACGAGGCACCGTCCGTGACCCTGAGAATTCAGTGGTATAGAGAGCACAGCCTTAGGTTAAAGTGGAGACAGACCAGAAGGAAGTTGTACACCAGAGGATGATGGAGGAGAAGGTCCATTCAAGGGTTCAAAAAGTCTACTTAAAAGAGGTGATAGGAAATTGAGAATTGAAGGTCTAAGGAGGAAGTTAGCCAGGTGAAGAGGGGTAGGACAGGAGGTGTGCCGAGTCCAGGGAGCTTCAGCTCTGAAGCTGGGACGTGATAGCGGGTGACAGTATCCGAGGGACTCCAGCATCTGTGGAGTGCTAGGGGAATGGAGTGAGAGGTGAGGGCAGAGAGAATGGCAGAGACCAGGTCATGGAAGAACTTCTAGGTCAGACAGGTGATGAGTTTATTTCATCCTGAGACACTCCAAGCCATGGAAGGGTTTTGAGCAGGACAGTGAAGTCAGGTTTGTGGACTGGGAAGGCCACTTAAGCTGTAGTGTATGTAAAAGGTTTGGAAGACACAAGAAGACCATTCAGGACCCTCTTGAGTTCAAATGAGAGAAGGTTGGGGCAGTTGCATTGGGCATGGAGTTTGAGTTGAAGACCCTCTCCTTGCCTAGAGAATCCACCTTGCTAGGGGTGCGCCCCTAGGGTCATGAGAGATGGAGAGTTGGCATGGTGGTAAGACGTGGTTTAGAGTACAGACTCTGCAGTCAGACAGCTAGGTTTGAATTCCAATTCTACCATTTTCTGGCTAGGCGACTGTGGGCAATCCCTCAATCTCAGTTTCCTCATTTGTGAAGTGGGGATAATAACACCTGATAAATAGTTGGGTTGTTAATTTTTATACAAAGCATTTAGCACAGTGTCCAGCCCCCCTTAAGTGCTCAGTAAACATCCAGTTTTATGTTCTTGTTCTTGAGCTACCTGGGAATGCAGTAGGGGCTCTGGATGTAGTGGAGCCTCATATCAGACTGAAGCCTTGGCCAGTCCCCTGTCCTGCCGAAGCTTTCAGGGAACCTGAGGCAGAAAGGAGCTGGATCCTCACGTACCCATTCTCCCTAGGTTCAGTACCAGAAGTGTCTTGTGGCCTCTGCAGCTCGAGGCAAGGCCTGGGGTGCCCAGGCCCGTGCCCGCCTGCGGCTCAAGCGGACCAGCTCCGTGGACTCCCCAGGAGTTCCCTTGCCTCTCCCCGTGCTCAAAGGAGGGGTTGGGGGTGCAGCCCCTCGAAAGCGGGGCATCTTCTCTTTTCTTGATGCCTTCCGGCTGAAACCCTCTCTGCTCCATATGCCCTGAATCGATTTGGGAGGGCTGGGGAAAGAGGCCCTGGGTCCGTGCCCTGATCTGTTCCCCGTCATTCTCCAGGGGCCTGCAGCCTCTCACCCTTTGGAGCCTTCTCTGCCTGTCCTTCCCACCTTGTGCACCCTTTATTTATTGCCCAATTTATTAATTGTTTATATGGATGGCTGAGAGGCCCTGCACCACAACCCAGGACCCTGGCTCTCCTTTCCCTGGGTCCCTGTGTTCCTTGCCCCTGTCCAGCCCTGGACAGTTGGCTCTACCTCAGCAACACTTTATAGCAAAATCAGTATAAATAAAAATCCCTCAGTGACCTCACTGGGTGTGAGTATGTTGGGCCTGGGACAGGGTTGGGGGGTTAACCTGTGTGACGTGTCTGTGTCTGTGCTTGGTGTTGGTGGCTGCCTGTAGTCACATGAGAACTTGGGTGTGATGGAAATCTGATATCATTCATTCAACAAATATATTTTCTAAGGTCTTCTCTGTGCCAGGCATTGGGGATGTAATAAAATAGGGTTTCCACTTTCTGAGACTGTCAGAAAGGGAAAGAAACAAGAGTAAAACAAGATAGAAGACAGTATGTAGTAAAACTAGGAGATCTCAGAGGGTCGTGGGAGCTCAGATGAGACAACCTTGCCCAGAGCGGTACTAGGCTTCCTGATGAGTTGACATCTAAGTGTAGAATTTTGTATTAATAATCAACCCTAGAGGATATACACGTAGAGGAGAGGTTAGGGGTGGGGTTCTAGAAATTGGTCTGGTTAGGTCACGGAGGGGCATGAGTCGGGGCCGGAGCTTCTGGCGGTTTAAACTTGCTCCTGAGAGCAATTGTGAGGCTTGGAGAGATTGAGGGTACTAGGGCTCCTAGAGCGCCGCCTCCTGCAAGACAGCCGAGCCTCATTTGGTGCCTTGTGATCAGGGCCGGTCCCATAGACAGTGGGTGCAGGTCTCCACCACCGGCTGCCGACGGTACTCCGCTACAGTCGCATCGGACGGCGCCAGGCAACCAGCCGGAGGGCGGTGCCCCCGGCTGCGTGGACGCGCGGCCGCCCGGAAGTGACGCGTCGCCCCGCTGGCTCTGCGGAAGTGGAGATGGCGGAGCTGTACGTTAAGCCGGGTGAGAGCGGCAGCGGGCTAGGGTCACCGGGCCCTCCTCTGTGCCCAGGCCGGAGGCGGTGACGGCGTGGGGTGCGGACCCTCCGGCTCCACCGGGCCCGCTTCACACTTGTCCTCCCTTCCGCAGGCAACAAGGAGCGCGGTTGGAACGACCCGCCGCAGTTCTCCTACGGGCTACAGACCCAGGCCGGGGGACCCAAGCGCAATCCGCTAACCAAGAGAGTCGCCGCTCCCCAAGATGGATCCCCCAGAGGTGCGTGGGGGCCCTGGGCGCAGAGGCCGGCCGAGAATGGGCGGTGCCAGGGATAAGCTTGTTTCGAGGGGCCTGTTTGCTCCTCTGAAGATTCCGTGAGAGAGGTTGGAGCCCAGAAAGGGCCACAGGGCAGGTTCTTTTCTGAGCCTCTTCTCTGATGCCCAGATCAATAAATAATACGTTGGTTTCAAGAGAATCTTTCTATGCTTTCATCCAAGGTGATCTCATCCAAATCTGTGGTTTTAATGTAGCTTTCGCTCTCAAATTATTTTCAAATTTTATTTCCAACCTAGATCTCTTCCCAGAACTCCATAGCGGTATATCACTTGTCTGTTCTACATCTTCACTTGACTATATAATAAGCATCCCAGACTTAAGATGTCATTCATGCATTCATTCACTCGTTGTCATCCACTGAGCACCATCTATGTGCCAGGCACTGTTTGAGAGAGAACTAGAACAGCAATGAAGACAAAAGGGTTTCTGCTTTCATGGAGTCCACACTGTGTAGCTTTGGAGACACACAAATGAAATAGTGGTAAGAGATCTGTAAAGAAAGAAAACAGTGACGTGAGAGTGACCAGGTTGCTAAGGTGTCTGAGGGGCTGACATTTAAGCCGAAAGGTGAATGATTAAAAGCTATCTATGCAAAGGTCAGGCACCAGAGCACTCCAGGCATCGGAAATCCCTAGTGCAAAGGCCTGAAGAACAAGTTTGACAAGGTCAGAGACTGAAGGAATACCTAGTGGCCAGGGCACAGTGGGCTAGGGATAGAGATAAGTAGTAGTAGTAAGGGGCCAGATCATAGTTGGTTTGATAAACCAGGGTAAGGAGTTTGTGTTTTAATCTATGTGAAGTTGGAAACCATTGCAATGTGTTTTTTTTAAGATTTTATTTATTTTTAGAGAGGGAAGGGAGGGAGACAGAGAGAAACATCAATGTGCAGTTGCTGGGGGTTATGGCCTGCAACCCAGGCATGTACCCTGGCTGGGAATCGAACCTACGACACTTTGGTTTGCAGCCTGCGCTCAATCCACTGAGCTACACCAGCCAGGGCTTCCATTGCAATGTTTAAATTAGAGGAGGGCTGCATTTTCTCCTGAGCAGTTCCCGTGCCAGCGGGTATGGCTGTGGCCCTGAGAAAGGCTCAGGTTCAGCTCTTTAGCACCCTTCTATTCTCCACACTGTAACCCTGAAGAGGAATGGTACAAGCTAGGACTTCCTAACCTTGGCTCCATTGACATTTTGGGCCAGATAATTCTTTGTGGTGCGGGACTGTCCTGGACACAGTGGGGTGTTTGCAGCATCCCTGACCTCTACCCACTAGATGCCAGGAGCGCCCATCTAGTCAGGACAGCTAAAGGCATATTCAGACATTTGCCCCACAGGCAGAATCTTCTCAGACTGAGAAACACCGATTTACATTTTTAAAATGATCACTGTCTGCTGTGTGGAAGAGTATAGGGAAGACATGGAAAGTTAAGAGGTGGTTATGGTAACAAAGGCAACATTTAATGATGATTTGCACAAGGGTGGGGGTCCTAGAGGTGGTAGGAATTGGATGGATATGCGTGGGATATGTTATGGAGAAAGTGGGTAGGAATGAGTGGGTTAGGAGAAGGAGAATCACTGTAGCTTGAAGAACTGGCTGGTATTTTCACTGATCAGAAGACGGGAGAATAGTGGTTTTGGGGCCAGGGGGAAAGCAAACTGTCTCAGCTGTGTTAAATTTGGGCTGCTGTATTGGGGAGAGGTGTAGGCCAGAATTACAGAAATGAGTCACTCTTGTGTGGATGGTATGTGATGTCAGGAACTTGACTAAGGTAACCTAGGGGAGAATGTGTGGATAAAGTCCTAAAGAAGATCCAAGCCAGAACCCTAAGGCTCTGTAGCATTTCAAGGTTGAGTAAAGAAGGAATTAACAAAGGAAGGTGAGAAATAGCCAAAGAAGTAAGAAAATAATTTTCTTTTGACAATGAGTAAAATTTAGTCAAATTTTGTGACTCAACTGTGATGAACACTGCTGAGAGGTCAAGAGAAAAGGGACCGCTGGTTTTGACATACAGAGTGATCACTGATGACCCGAAGAGCGGTCTGTGGAGTGATGAGAACAGAAACTCGCTAGAATGGGCCGAGAGGGGGATGTGAAAAGACAGAGAAGTGACTAAAGGCCTCTCATGGAAGAAATTCTACTGTAAAGCAGAGATGAGAAAGGGGGTGGAGTGCCTGAGGACGGAATGTGAGGTAAGGGAGGGCTTTTGTTTTTAAAGCAGTATACACCATGGTGGCTTTGTGTGCGAGGGTCGGGGGTGGTTCAGTCAACTGGGAGAACTGAGGGTGCTGGAGAAAAGGGGTAGTTCCAGGACCGAAGGCTAGAGAAGGCATGAGAGGCTGGGTGCAGAGTTCACCTGGAGAGATGGCCTCTGATCTCAGCAGAGACCTTTCATCTGTTGGAGGAGGAAAGTGGCCACCGATGTGGGTGTGTTAGTAGAACTGGTGGTGGGAAATAGGAGTTCCTGTTTAATGACTCCTGTATTCTCAACGAAATAGGAGGCAGAGTCAGGAGTAGAGAGACAGCAGGGAAAGGTAAAGAGGAGAGGGAGGGGGTAGAAAGTTTAGAGATGTGAAAACGGGTATTCCAAAGATTGGGAAAATGAGGTGAAGAGGACTTCCGAGCAGTGATGGATACCTTTTAAACTTTGTAGCCATGGATTTAAAGTGTAACTCCTCGGCAGAGTTGTATTTTTCCTCCCAACAAGTGCAGGCAGGTTGGATTTACCAGAACAATGGGACAGTGGGAATGGATAAGTGAGGTGAGAGTGTTGATAAGGGAGTGATTTTTACTGCCCGGTTAAGCCTGTGTAGCTCAGCTGGAATGGTGGGAGAGGTGGTCAGATTCTGGAGATGGTTCAGTGGTGTCAAGAAGGTGGCAGAGGGGAACAAGAGGCCAGACCGAGGTAGGGTGGAAAACATGATCACTGGAGGTGAGGAGGGCAAGAAACCAAGAGGACGATTCATTGTCCATGTGGATGTTGATGCCTAGGAGTAAATTGTTGATTTTTTCTTCTCCAGTCTTGTCTCCTTCTGTAGTGGTTCCCCCATCCCATTACTGAAGTCAGAAACCAAGAGTCATTCTTGACTCTTCTCCCTCACGCCCAGTCCACCAAGTCCTGTGCTGTTTCCTCCCAAATCAATCTGACCACTCAATTTTCCCTCTAGTCTTTCACGCAAGTCTGTAGCAGCAGCTTTTCTTTCCAGGACTACTGCTCCGTTAACCTACCAGCTGGTGTCGCTGCCTCCACTTGTGACCCAGCCTCACTGGTTTTTCACAGAGTATACGGAATTTATGTTTTGACTCTTCCAGCCTCCTGGGTGCTGCCCTGATCTCTACCTAGTATTCGTTTCCTTTGGCTTGTTGTGGCCACAGCTATCTCATTCATCAGTTCTTAACTTTGTGAGCACTTTTTGCTACACACTAATCGAGCCATTGTACCTGTATTCTTTTCTTTTTTTTTTAAGATTTATTTTTAGAGAGAGGGGAGGGGAGGGGGAAAGAGAGGGAAAGAAACATCAATGTGAGAAACAGCAATAGTTGCCTTCTTGTAGGCACCCCGACCAGGGACTGAACCCGCAACCCAGTCATGTGTCCTGACTGAGAATCAAACTGGCGACCCTTCGCTTTTTGGGATGACATCCAACCAACTGAGCCACACTGGTCAGGGCGGTACCTACATTCTTATGCATCATTGCAGCTCTGTAAAATAAGTACTTACAGTAATATGTCCATTTTACAGGAGAGGAACCCAAGCCCAGGTTAAAACTAACTTGCCAAATGTCACTTAGTTGTTGGCTGGGATAAAATCAGATGGCCTTCTAGATAGGTCCCTCTGTTCCTCTTTATTACTTAATCCATTTTATTTCTTTGTAGCACACAACATAATTTGGTGATTTTCTTCCCCTTTTCTCTAGAATTTAAGCTCCGAGGTCAGAAACCTTGTCTGTCTACTCTTACCTCTGGTGATTTGCAGATTGTCTGGCACATAGTAAGGACTTCATAAATACACATTTTGAGTAAGCATTGTCTTAGAGTAGCCCTTCTCAGAAGGGATGGAGTTAGGGTTGAGTTTACCTACTTCAGCAGTTGTTCCTGTTTGTCTGATCCTGCTTTACCTTTTCAGTCCCCACTTCAGAGACTTCTCCTGGCCCCCCCCCAATGGGGCTTCCACCTCCTTCAAGTAAGTCTTCCAGGCCCCCAGCTATGGGGACTTGTCCTGCCCCCACTGTGGAGCCCACAGATTTGCCCGTCACTGAGTGTGAGACTCTGCTGGAAGATGTGCTGAGACCTTTGGAACAGGCATTGGATGACTGCCACGGGCACACAAAGGTAAGCCCTGCCACTCCCATGGGGTGGGGGGGTTCCTATGGACAGCCAGATGCAGGTGTGGCTCTTAACCTTTTCTGCATTATAGACCCCTTTGGGGTCTGCTAAGGACTTCCCAGAAAAAATGAACACAGGGTTTCAGGAGGGTTCAATGGACTTGTTGTAGGAACAAGAGTTAAATTCAAATCCCTTTAGTGATGGACAGCCTGATTTTCATACCTCTAGGACCTCTAGGCCATTCAGAGCAGACCCTGCTGATTTTGTGCTCAGGGAGGGAAGGAAACCCTCATTTTCTTTTAAAAAAGATTTTATTTATTTACTTTTAAAGAGAGGGGAAGGGAGGGAGAAAGAGGGAGAGGACCCTCGATGTGCAAGAGATACGCCTGTCAGTTGTCTCTTGCACGTCTACACGTAGGGACCTGGCCTGCAACCCAGGCATATGCCCTGACTGGGAATCAAACTGGTGACCTTTCGGGTGCAGGCTGGCATGCAATCCAGTGAGCCACACCACCCAGGGTGAAACTTTTCTTATCTGTAGTGTTTAAGTTCTCTGGAAGCAAGGGATCTGAGGAGTCTTAAAGGAAAGCAGTATAGTAATTTTCACTTCTTTCATCCTTAGTTTTTGTATTTGTAAAGTAGCACTATAAAATGAATTTCTGAGGGCCCAAGAAACAGGAAATTTTACAATTCTAGCTGTACACAGCTCTTTTCTTAGAAGGAGATCCATAGGTTTCATCAGATTCTCACTGGGGCTTCTAACCTTTGGGTAAAGAACCAAAATGCTAAGATTAGGCATTAAGTTCCTGGGCCAGAGAAAGAAGGTGCTGCCTGTGTGGTGCTAGGTTTTCCCTGCCCCTGCTGGCTGGCAGCACTGACTTGGAGGGGTTTCTGTCTCTCAGAAGCAGGTGTGTGATGACATCAGCCGACGCCTGGCTCTGCTGCAGGAACAGTGGGTTGGAGGGAAGCTGTCAACACCTGTAAAGAAGAGGATGGCTCTGCTGGTGCAGGGTATGGGCAGGTCCCTGGGTATAGCCTAAGTCCTCATCCTTTCGTTGTTGGCTCAGCCAGGACAGGTGGTGGGAAGGGAGGAGTGGGAGCTGTCTTTTGCCCAGACTGCATGCTCAGTCTCTCTCTCTCCCCCCCTCTCCAGAGCTTTCAAACCACCGGTGGGATGCAGCAGATGACATTCACCGCTCTCTTATGGTTGACCATGTGACCGAAGTCAGTCAGTGGATGGTGGGAGTTAAAAGGTTAATTGCAGAAAAGAGGAGTCTGTCTTCAGAGGAGATGGCTACAGCCACAGCTGAGGAGAACCAGACCACACCAGGTGTCCAACAGGACCCGTAATCCTGCGCCAGACTCACTGCACGCCACCTCCTACGACTTGGCGTGGGAGGCCTTATCTCACTGGACTTCCTCTTAGCGCTTGGGAGACTGTCTGCCCCATGGGGGTATTTGGCTGACCCACCTATAGGGGAAGAGGTCCCACCTGGGCCACAGGGAGGTTACTTGTTAACACTACCATTTGCATTTCAATAAAAACATCTCCGTGGTGGGCCCTGGGTAGGAGATAAACCTTTCCCATGCCAGACTGGTCACTTCTGGCGTTAACTGTCCTGCTGTGTGCACCTCACAAACCTCTGTTCTTCCTCCATTCATCATGAATGGCCTTACTGGGAATGACCAGATTACTGACTGCTACTTCCCCCTAAATCAGAGCTAAATGCACACTCCTTGCTGGGTTGAGTAACCCTATCTTTGTATGCTTTCACTTCAGCATGAGAACAGAGGTTCAAATAGCACAGGGAGCATTTTCCCTCAGGAAAGGGAGCCTGCCTTGTCTGCACTGAATCACCCTTGAGGTATGCAAGTGCCCTGGAGTTCAGAACCAGACATTAGAACATAGCTGAACAAATGTGGGCCCTAAAGTTTCTTCTGACCCTTTGAAGCAACAGAGTCAGGCTGAAGGGGCCTGTGAGAAGGGCCAGTAGAGGCTTTCAGTGTTGGAATAAGGGTTGGTACTTCTAGGTGGGAGGCATAACAGGCATGGGCAGAGATCACAGAAGGCTAAAAGGTTAGGCAGCGTCTCTCTTTCCCTGCTTTGGAAAAGACAGGGAGGGGTCACTGGAGAGGCCAAGTCCAGGAAGGCTGCTTCCTGGAAAGGCTGGAACGGCCCTTGGCAGGGAAAGGCTAGTGCTGTTTACGGTTTGGCACCTCCTGTAACTTGCCCGCATAGCTTGCCACAAGCTATTGCTACTAGGAGCGGGCCCAATCTGAGCTGGGAAGGGCCCTGGGCCCTCTGATCCTAACCAGGTCTGCGGGGCCCTCAGCATTGAGAACACTGGAGCCAAGGCATTTCTTTGAATGTTTACTAAGCAGTCAGTGACATACTCCATCCCCGAGTCCCTGCCTCAGCCCCTGGGTGAGGAGGGCTGGGGTTGAGAGGACTGCCTACAGACCAGAGAGAAAGTGGAGCTAAGGGCTTGGCAAGGTGCCCACCCCTATCCTTGGTCTAGCTGCTTCAGAACTAAGGGAGGCCCAGTCACTCCCTTCCGGATTAGATGTGGCCAGCTGGCCTTCGGATATCCCAAGAAGAGGTGGTGGCAGCAGTGGCATGAGAGATTCCTCTAATTCCACACGTGGGTCATCTGCACTGGATTAGATGTCCATTTCAAATTGGGCGTCATCTGGAGAGAGAGAAGGCAGGAGGACTGGTTGCTGGGCTGACGGTCTGTAGGCTCAGCGTCAGTGCAGAAACCCAACTGTAGTTAACCAGCGCATTTGGACTCAAAGGCATTTCTTATTTTTGGGTCAGGTGCTGCTTTCCTTACCGGGTATCTCTTCTTCTGTCTCCTTCTGCTCCTTCACCTCCACCAGCTTGGAGAGTGGGGCTGTTGGAGTTGTGACCCCGGGAATTTGAGGGAGGCAGCAGGGGGGTGTCCGGGCAATGGGTGAGTTCTTGCACTCCAGCAGGAACTTTCGTTCGTAGATGATCCTGGTGCCTGTTAAGGGGTAGGAGCTGTGTAAGAGGCAGGAGCTTGGGTGGCAGAGGTGCCTGGAGCCCCAGAAAGGCCTTTTAAGGACCTATAGGTCACACTTCTGTTTTACAGGGCTACTGCTCTGCAGCCCAGCCCGGATCTCAGCTGACTGGCCTTCACAGCACTTCCAGGCCTAACCAAGATGCTGCTAAGCAACTGGGACGTCCCTGCTGGCCTAGGCAGCAGCTTTTGGTTTAGGGGAGTTTCAGGTCTTGACTCTAGGAGGAACACCAAACTTGGAGCTCAGGTACTACAGGCTGCTCATCTGGGACTCGACTTCATTGCTTTGGTTCCCAAGGTGGGGCCTGGGCCTCCAGCCTTAGTTGGATCAGGAAACCAAACAGATGTGAAGGCGCTTCACTACTGCAGCCACCTGGGCCCTGATATCCTGCAGGGAGGAGCTGTGTTCGCTATGGAGCAGGAACATGCTGTTCTTGTTCTGACCTCTCCCAAGTTCTATCAGGCTCAGCCCAACCTAAAGGAACTTGGCACAGAATTCTGTCTTCAAAAGGCCCTGCTCTTGTTCTCAACCCTCCCCTTAGCCTTCACGTGGCAGGAACCCCTGGGTGGGAAGCCCGGCGGCTTACGATCCCAGGCAGCTTGCCCAATCAAACAGCCACCAGCCAACCGGCCAGAGATACCCGCAGCCCATGCCTCCAACTGCCTAAACCACTCTAGCAACTCTACCAGACCTTCATGATCCCGCTGAAGCCACGCTCAGTTGGGGCTTCTGCCTCCCAGGCAGCAAACTCCGGAGGGGTGGGTAAGCAAGGCGCCCAGAACCCGGGCCAGTGAGGATTTGGCCCAGAGTCACGCAGAAACTAGGCTTGGGCTCCACCCGTTCTCCCCCAAGCTACAACCAGCAGAGGGGCCTGAGACGACGAGTTAGAGGGCCGTAGTTCCTCACCCCTGTCTGGGACTGAGCACACGCGCGGGCCTGCCCGCTGCCTGTGGACCCCAGCCTGGCCGCGCTGGCCCACCCATTGCCTGTGGACCCAAGCCCGGCCCGCTGACCTCCCGGGGTAGTGGCGTAGAGCGTGCCCCCCGGCGTGGTGCTGTAGCAGTCGGGTAGCCGGTCTCTCCCCCCCGGAATCGGGCAGCTCGTGGATGTGGACATAGCGAGCCAGACGAGCAGAAAGCCGAGGACACAGAGCGCAGCAGTCTGAAGCGGACTCTGACGACCACGTGCGACCGCAGCAACAACACCAGGACAACGTCACGCCCGGGGCGGGCCCCGCCCGAGCCCCACCCTGTCACTCAATCTGACAGTCCCGCCTTCCCGCGAGGGAGGAGACTGAGTTTGGCAAAAGTTTGAAGGAGTACCGTCCAGGCCTCCAAGGCCTGGAGTTCCTCTTGGCCCAATACTGGCCAGCAGGCCTCTGAATACTGCTGATGCTCAGCTAGTTACTACTCACTGTTTAAAGCTGGGTGCTGGGGACAAGTGAGGTCCTGCACACATTACTGCCGTGTACTAATTCACCCATTCTTTTTATCAATTGAAGACAGTATATGTGCCACGTTTTACAGGTGAGGAAACTAAAACCCAGAGAGGTTAAATTACTGGTTCAAAGTCACATCTTCTAGGAGTTCTGGGAAGCTGGGATTCAGACCTGAGTGTATCTGATTCCAGAGCCTGTGCCTTTCAGCACAGACATGTATCCCGTTAATCAATCAATTGCCTCAAAGGCCTGGTGCACAGCAGGGAAAGGTCAGGGATGGAGGGTGGGTTTTCTGGAAGGTATGATACCTGGACTGACTGAAGGATGAATAAAGGTTGGGGGATAAAAGAGGTCTGCTTTTTAATCTCTCAGCCATGGATAACCTAACCTTGAGAAACTAAGGAAGAGCAGGGGGCTGGTGAAAGGGCTTGGTCTTTCATTCTCTGGAAATGAAGGTCAGAGAGTCCCGCCTCAGATTTTTGATGCATGCAGTGATATGAAAGGAGGCAGGAGAAGTGGTGGGAGAGGAGGTCTAGTACCTATATACGCTGAAGATCACTTCATCCGGCTGTCCTCTGGCTTCCTCAAAATCAGCATTCCTCCACACCCCACTCTCCAAATGAAGTAGAGACCACCTGACTTCATGCATGCATCGATATTACTTGGGCTCGGGCTTTATCAGATTTTCCCTTAGCTCTGATTTTTTCATTCATTCATAATAATAATAATAAAGGCTTTTATAAGTTAGTGCTTCTCAAATTTTAATGTGCACACAGATAACCTGGAGGGCTTGTTAAAATGAGGATTCTGATACAGGCTGTGGTGGGACCAGAAATTCTAGGTTTTTAATAAGATCCTGGTGATGCAGGCCCTCAGGTCAGCAGGTCCTTAGAATCACACTCCAGGGAGAAAGGATCTGTATATTTTATGTTCTAAAAAGGTTTTTGAGCCTCTTAACAAAGTGATGCATACTTAAATAAAGTGTCCTAGCATTGCTGGAGGGTAAGGCTTAGGAGCAGATTGTGAGGAGCCACCCATGACAACTTAACTTTTAAGCGGGTGGGTAAGTAGTATGGTGAGGGGAAGGGGATGGGATGTAGGACAGTGAGAGTGAAAGTAAGGACTGTAGCCTAGTGAAATGGGGCAGCCAAAAGGGCAGTGACTGTTGAGCATGGAGAGAAGTGGAGGGAATCCAGATACACAGAGGATGAAGAATACAGTGACAGACTAGGGTGGGTGAGGAAGAGGGAGATGATTCTCTCAATCTCCCGACTTGAGAGTCATGGTAGCTAGTAATACCACCTAATATAATAGGGGAAACAAAGGGAGAGGCTTACCTTATATTGGGGTTACATGACCTGTGTGGAATGCTCAGATGGAGCACAGTAAGGAGCTAGATATACTGGTCTGAAGCTCAGAGAACTTTGGGCTAGTGATGCAGATCTCAGTGGAGTGAAATCCAAGGGCAAGGGATAACATTTGGTGAAAAGACACAGTGAAAGAAGAGACCTGAGCACATCAACGTTTAAGGGGTAGTGAAGGAAGAGGATTCACCAAAAGAGACTGAGAAAGATCAGCCGGAGTAGGAGATTAGGAGAGAAGTGTCAAAGGTTTCCAAGAAGGATCACTGTGGAAATGAGGTCTCCCTTCTGTTACAGCAGCAGGTCCTACTACTATAAGTCTGCCGGTAGAAGCTTACTTTTTTGAGATGCTGTGTGCCACAAGGGCTGGGGAACTGAAGACTTAGTTGGCTTTAGAGAGAGAAAGCCAGGTCATTGTCCATGCAACCTGGATGAAGGACCAAGATTTTAAATCAGATGATCAACAGTGACTACCCATTAGAGAATGGGAGCTTCAAAATAAAATGAAGAAACAACCCGCCCCCCTTAAAAACACACACACACACCCCTACCCCAGAAATCTGCCTAAATCCGCAAGGGAATATGAGGTCTCTGCTACCAGGCAAATTACAGTTGACCTTTAACAACATGAGTTTGAAATGTGTGGGCCCACTTATATGCTGTTTTCTTCAATACAGGAGATCTGTCAGGAAAAAGCCCAGCCATTGTTAAAGAGAACGGTTTGCACAAAATTGATGTAACCTGGCGGCCAAGGAGAGTGGACTGGAATGCGCATGCATGAACAAAGATGACTTCACTGTACCAGCAGATGCCCTCGAGTGAGCATGTGCACTGTGTGGCTGTCTCATTCAAAATGACTGAGACAGGAGAACAATGAATCTGCATCATATTTTGCACGTTAAGCTTGAACATTCATCTGGGGAAACTATTCGGATGATTCAGAAGGCCACAGCTATCGGCAACTGGTGACTGGCAGCTTCATCAGGACAACACACCTGCTCATGTATCACATCTCATGCACAGTTTTTTGGTGAAACATCAAATCACCCATGTGACTCAGCCCACCTACAGCTCAGATTCGAAATTCTGTGACTTCTGGCTTTTCCCAAAACCAAAATCACCTTTGAAGAAGAGATTTCAGACCATCAGTGAGATTCAGGAAAATACAACAGGGCAGCTGATGGCAACTGGGAAAACTGTGTGAGATGCCAAGGTGCCTACTTTGAAGGGGGCTGAGGTGTCATTGTCCTGTGTACAATGTTCTTGTAGCTTCTTGAATAAAAGTTTCTATTTTTCATACTACTTAGCTGGATACTTTCTGGGCAGACCTTGCACAGTCAGCCCTCCGTATCCCCAGGTACTGAATCCATGGGGCTAACTGTACGCATTATTCTATGCCATTTTATAGAAGGGATTTGAGTATCTCAAATTTTGGTATCTGCAGGGTGTCCTGAAACCATTCTCCCATTCATATACCAAGGGATGACTATACTGTGGACTCACACCAATACCATTAAGATAAAAAGGAGTTGAAAAGTAATCACAGAATTGGTTTGCAATCTGACCATTAGATTCATGATCTTGTTTTCCAAATTAGATCTTGAATCTCAGACCCCTGCCCTTTTTTGTTGGTGGTCTTAATACACTTAAGTTGTGAGTATTTAAAACCACCCTTCTCCCTGTCTGTTGGTAAATGGTGACAAATCTTTGAGAATAAAGAGAAAATGCAGCATTATCAGAGTCCTTCACCCCAGGGCAGGGTTCACTGGAAGATGTCACAACCAGCCACGCTTCTTGGTAGAAGAAGACATCCAGGGCTAGTTAGAGAACGAGGTGTTCAGAAGCTGTTTTTGTACTGGCTTGTTTGCCACTTCCCTGAGATTACAATGTGGTCCAAAGGTCTCACTTAAACAGTGAGACAGAGACATATAAACTAAGTGCTCTCTGTTTGGCTTGAAACTATACGACCAGCCTTTCTCCTCTACAAGCTACCTCAAGCAGAGGACGGTCAGGTCGCCTCATGCATTAATTTTGAGGTCTGGAGTTGTTGGGTTTGACCAGAATCTGCAAGAACAGATAGAAACTGTAGTTGCAAGTCCTGAGACGTCTTACCTCTGGTTAGGAGAGGCCACCATTGGCTGTCCGACTCTCTTCTTCGCTCTGGTTAGCTGAGGTGGTGGGATTTCCCCTTTGAGGGCAGGGAGTGAAGGAAGCAGACTGGCCTATAAAAGGGCAAGTCAGCACACTGTAGCCACAACAGGTTTAAAGGGTCTTAAAACATCAATAATTTTATTGATAGTGAAATGTTTTTACACTGAACACTACTTAAATAAGTGGGTCCTTGATGATACAGTTTTGTTCCTTGAAAGAAGTGTTACTCTTAGGTTGGAGCTATGCCTCAGCAGGATGTCTCTTAATGACTTGAGGGCTCACTATTGATGTTGCAAGGTTTTCTTCTTCCTCCACTAAACTCTCAAAATCAATACTGGACCTAACAAGAGCAGGATTTTATTCCATGTGAGACTCAATGGTAGGGGCTCTCAAACCTCAGCAATGTAAACACTCTATTGGCTTCCAGTATTCTCACACCATATGTTCTCATTCACAAGAAAAAGAAGAGAATCTGTGTTAGGACTAGGAGACTCTGGAGTATACTAATGTTCATTTTCATTTTCAGATGAGGAAAGTGAAGCCCAGAAATACGAAATCACTTGCTCAAGGTCATGTAGCTGCAAGTGGCAGAAATGAAAACAGTTTAGGCTTCTGACTCTTGTTCCACTGTACCCATGCTGCCTCCCCCACCACATCCCTTATATATTTGGAAAGTAATTAAGTTCTTACCTGAGCTAGGCTTAATCCAAGGTTCAGGTTGATAGAATAGCAGTAAAGTAATGCCAGGAAGAGGCAAGACAGAGGAAGAAGAGATTATAGCAGGCAAAATGGGATGGGGAGTAGGCTATTGGGATCCAAATAGAAAGAAAAGAAGGCAGTGCTGGTAAGAGGGCAGAGAGGAGGTTAGTCTAAATGACTACTAGCAACTGCACAGCTCCCGTTTCTTCCTAATCCGTCTAAGGGGTTTCTCATATTGCTTTCTCTTCTCATGGGTTCTAGTTCCTGAGCTGAGATACAATTTTTCATTCTGTTGTCCTCACGGTGCAGAGGATAGGGTAAAGGGCTCTTCCAGATAATTCAAATGTATTGTAAACAGATAAGATAGAACAAAACTCACCTGTTTGTCCCACTGAATAATTTACTTATTATCATCTTTCACTAGTGTATGTTTCATCAAAAGTAGTTTCATTCACAGTATTAGGTGCTTTTTTTTTGTTAGTGCTAAATGGAAACAGCAGGACATGTAGATGATCCAAGAGGTCTTTTATCTCCCTCAGGGCAAGGGGGGGTCTCCTGAGAACACTGGTTGTGGTTACCAAGCACTACAAACATGCCCTGGCTGGTGTAGCTCAGAGGACTGAGCTCTGGCTTGTGAACCAAAGGGTTGCTGGTTTGATTCCCGGTCAGGGCACATGCCTGGGCTGTGGGCCAGGTCAGGTCCCCAGTAGAGGGGGCACAAGAGGCAACCACACATTGATGTTTCTCTCCCACTCTTTCTCTCTCCCTTCTCCTCTGTCTAAAATAAATAAATAAAATCTTTTTTTAAAAAAAGGCACTACAAACGCAATAGCTTCAACATCAGTGATACATTCCAAATCCATTCAAAATAGAAAATAAGAAATGAACTAAAAGAAGTTCTTATATGGAAGATGATATGGAAGACAAAAGAACCAGGTATGTCCAACATAGAACAAAC